GAAGCATAAGTAAATATATTTACTAGCATCATCATATTGCCTTGAGTTAAAAATTGTGTAAATTTCTGAACGGTTTTCTATGAGTCTGTGTGTGTATCTTTGGAGTAAAGCCGTTCTTCTAAATTTTTATAGAGAGTATTATTGGCATCGTTCAGTTCAAATAAATCAGCAATCATATGTGGATGAAATTGTTTAATTTTTATGGTGATATTTTTAGTTTACACCTGACCATCTTCAAATCAAACAAGTGTCATAAAAATCAATGTGAAAAAGAATGCAGCATTAGTATAGAGTATATGGTTATTTGGCAAAACATAACCTGTTCAAGATGTGAAAATAACAGTTTGGAAAAATCATTGTATTTTTTCTTTAAATGTACTTTTCATTAAATAGATACTTCTCTAAGGAAGACATATAGATAAACGGGTACATGAAAAAAAAATGCCTGTTAATACTTTTCATCAGGGTAATACAAATCAGAACTACAATGAAATACCATCTCATACCTCTAAGAATGGCCCTTATTAAGAAGACAATAAAAAACAAATATTGGTTGGGGTGTGGAGAGAAAGGAGCACTTATACACTGTTGGGGAAATATAGACTGGCCCAGGCCCTGTGGAAATTAGGTTTCTAAAAAACTAAAGATAGATCTACCAATACCACTCCTACTTATTTATAAGAATGCATAAATGCTTTTTAGAATGGATACTTGTATTCCATTGCTCATTGTAGCACTATTTAAAATAACCAAGTTATAGAAATAGTCTCAGTGCCCAAGAACAAAGGAGGGGGTTAATAAGATGTGTGTATGTATGTGTGTATATATAAATGTGTGTGTATACACACATATACACGTGTGATAGAATATTACTCAGCTATAAACAATGATGCACTTCTACATTTGCCTCACTATGAATGAAAGTAATTGCGATTATGCTAAGGGAAATAAATCAGAAGGACTAATACCAAAAATCTCCACTTATATTTGAATATAGAGAAACAAAACAAATAATCAGACAAAACTAATCCAAAAAATATATCCTAAAAGTCTGAATGTATAATTAGGATACCAGTGTAGAAGGGGAATGTGGAGAGCAAAGAGAGCATACCCAATGGACTATGGTGAGTCACTATGAGTCTCTTGGCAGAGGATATAGTATGGTAACCTCTCTGAAGAGGTGTGATCTATACCTCTGAATTATATACAGTGTAATAAACCATTGTTACTTCAATGAAAATAAATACAAACACAGTTTTCTTGTGTGAATTGATTGACACAGATATGTTTTAAATCTAGTCATATTTATTCTTAAACTCTCTTTTCTTCTTCACAGGAGAAAAATGGTATCCATGGTATGGGGTAAATAAATAGACTCCACTAGAGAAATGTGTTAACCTCATGATCTTACTCTGTCTAAACAGTTACATAATTTTATCTCCTTTGACAAATCTGGGCCTGGGTTGAATGAGCTATTCCTCTGACTGTTTTGTTCTGGTTTATGTGATTTTCTTTCTTTGGTTGAGTAATTTAGATACTCTTTGTTATTAATAAAAATGAATGCAATTAGGGTTTTTATAGAGTGTTACATATTTCAAGCTGATAATATCGCTTTTATTAGAAATGATAAAATATATGATTTGGGAAATTCAGTGTTTAGTTGATCTATAAGTTAGAGTTAATTTACAGGACTAAATATTTACTATAATGTGAACAAAATAGTGTGTATGTGTGTGTGTATATATAGACACACACACACATATATACAATCTCTCTCTCTATATATATATACACACACACACATATTCACAAACACACTAAGTGTATTTTTCTTATATATATATATATATATATAGTGTATATTTTTCTTATTTTTTTCTTCTTGTTAAAGCTCCCAAGTCATTTGCAATTGCAGTGGATTATAGCAATAAATCACTGAAATAGAAAGCTTAATATTTCCCCAAATCATCACAGTATGAACAAGGCAAGGGTATCTCCAATTAAAAGCTTTAGCTAAAGGATATAAAATGGGTGTTTATGTCCTTTTTCCACTGTCTTAGTAGTTTGGGTAGTGTCTGGTGGAGAAAAGTTTGGAATATACTAAGTTGGAATATGCAGAGTTAGAGTTATTTAAAATACGGTGTTGTAAAAGGATGATTTTGTAAACTAATGTAGTTCTTACATGAAGTTGCATCAATGTTAAATAAGTGGATATAAAGCATTTGGCATTACAAAGATTGTAAGGAGTAAGTTCTAAAGTATGAACATAGACCAGAAAGATACCTTTCTCTGAAGAGTAAAAGCACCATAGAACAAAATTAAAGCAGGGAAAATTTTGTAAGAGATAACTAGATTACACAAACAAAACTACATCAGGAAAAAAAAAATAATGAGAGTTGTGTTGCTAAGGGCTTGGAAATTGAAATCTTGAACCTGGTGTAAAATCTGTTCTCTCAATTATATTTTGTTGCCTCTAAGTACAATGGTGACAATTGAAGTATATTTCAAACAAGTGAGACCAAAATAAACTTTATAACTTCTGTCAATAGCAAGATGATACTGAGTGAAGTCAGAGTTTGATCTGTTCATACAATCTTTCATTCAGCCAATACTTTTAGGTTGTTCTGGAGTAGGCCGTGTTGTTGTGTTGGATGGTAATGACACACTAGTGATCCAACCTTTGATTCTCCAATCTATTCTCCCTGTTTGTGCGTATGTGTGGATGCTGTTTAAATATACTGACAGTCAACTTGTCTCTAAGTGCAGAACACCAGAATGCCATTACATAGATGGTATGAACATGAACAAGATATCTAGAACCTCCTAGTTGTCACCACCTAATTTCTTATTCTTAATCTTTTATTAAGATTCATTTCTTTCCCTGCATTACTCTTTGAGATTACCTTGTGAATATTTGTGAGCAGCATTAAGAGTGTACGGCTAGATAAAACAAGTTTATTCCGTTACTCACCTAGAAATGTCTAATATAATTTACTGATACAATTATGGTTCAAAGTAGTAGGACATGGAATTTGAATCACTGGACAAAATTTCACTACAGTTTTATTATATGTGGACTATTTAATATAAAAATTTAATAAACTCTGAAAATGTACACCCTGTGGAGTTAGGTTAAATAGCTTAGGTTAATAAACTGAGCATTTATAATAATGACTAAAATTTTATCTTTCACCTTTCTTACACTAATAACTCATGGATTCTAGAACAGCTGATGACTTAGATAATATGAATTCAATATTCGCCTGTATTATATATTAGATCCTAGCAAACTATGTCTTAGTCCTTATTTCTACAACTACAGATTTCTTGGTTTAAATTTAAAATATAAAATTGATTATTGATGGAAAATTGAATAATGACATCACTGCATTTCTGATCAGCTGGTTGGTGCATATGCCATAAAGCATGAACTCCTCAAGGAGAGTCAGAGACAGTCCTACCCTAGTCGAACTCATGAACCTTTCTTTAGCAAAGCAATAACTATTTAAATTAGTGTGATAGAAACATTAAATCACCTCAAATCCATTTCCATCTTTTACTAAATGGACATAAGACCTTCTGTTTTCAGAGGTCTCTGGATTTTGGTTTTATGATTGCAAGATTTTTAATCTTTATTAGTCCATATAATGTAATATAGGGCAAAGCGATTTCTTGAAATAAAAGTTGCATATCCTGATATTTAGGAGGCTTAGTTTTGTGACATCCAAGGCTAGGCCTCAAATCCTTTGACAAGATGTTTATTAATGATCCTCTAGGAACAGATACAGCTACTCCTAGATTATAATGTCCTTTCTTTCTTCCTTAATCTTAACTCTTTCTTTAATTTAGGGTCCGAAATTTCATATCTATTTAGAACAATTTTGATATAATCTCATAGAGTTATGGTTGGAGCTTAAATAATTTGGTTACACAATTTATATATTGATTCTTTCTTGTAACAAAATTTTAGAAATAAGGCATATGACTGGAAACATTAAAAAAACATTATTGGTTACAATTTTGCAATGCTTTATACACTATACCTTGTGGATTTTTTGATAGTTTTGTCCTTTATTATTCTAAATAATGGATTAGATGAAAACTACCAATACTGAGATAGGTAATTCCATAAGATGAATTTGCATTACTAAAATTTTGAATATGTAGTTTTTATAGAATATCTAAAGTGTATCAGGTAGTGCATTATTTTATAAAATCAAATAATATAATAATATGCCTGACAAATGCTATCCTGAATTCTTCAGTATTCCTTAACATATCCAAGAGGAAAGTACTCACTTCATTTGGTAAGAAGATAGCTGAAGGAGGAAAATATGTTCCCCTTTCATTTTTTAGTAAAAACAGACAGAGGTCTCTAGGGGACTTTATTCTCTTTGGTAAAGAGGTTGTTACTAAAACAATCTTATAAAAATTTATATTTTTAAAGAACGTTTTATTAGCAAAAGAAGGGGAAATTCTTCTGAGGCAGATATTCTAGCAATAACCATTCTTATGAAAGTGACTTTGTTTCATTTACATGTCCTCTAAAATGCCATAAACAGGCCCTCTGTGCCAGCAATTCCATAGTCCTTGTTCCTTTTTCCTCCCTTGGCTGTGTTAAATCTCACCAGTGACTTCACCTGGAACACTGGAACCTTCTATAACATAGTCCTACTTCCTATATGAGCGCTTAGGTTTTCCAGCACCTGATAAATACTTGTAATCACTTTACAACCTGACTTTTAAAAACATATTTGGATAGCCATTCCATTTAGAATGCAGGAATTTGTATAAAACCACAGAGGTTATATTGCTTTTGAAGTAAACGCTATTGGTTTGTGGAATTTCCTTCAACTGGAAACATGTAGGAGTCTGTGGTTTTAGTGTTTTCCTACTTTTAGAATAGCCTGCTTGTTTGTTTTCATTTTCAAAGCCAAGAACGTACCATTAATTTGCATAATTTATAAAGGACTAATTTGTTTTCCTTCTTTTCTTTCTAGTTGAAAGAGACAAGGATTTTTCTCACCAGCGAAGGCATTATAAAGAATTCCGGTTTGATCTTACACAAATTCCTCATGGAGAAGCCGTGACGGCAGCTGAATTCCGGATATATAAGGACCGTAGCAACAATCGGTTTGAAAATGAAACAATTAAGATTAGCATATATCAGATCATCAAGGAATACACAAATAGGTATCAACTTTACAGCTAATTTTTTATACTAGCAAACAAATTTTAAGTTGTACTTAAATTCAGTGATAATCCATGTGATCCTTTAATTTTTTTTTTTTTTTTTGGAGTGCAATGACATTCAAGACCTTTTACAGAATTTAAAAAGTTACAGTGATTAACTGGAAACACTTTTTACATTTCACAGTTTTCCTTATTTCTGACACCAATCTATAGACCAAAAAGTCTTTATTCTTCCCCATGTTTGTTTTCTAAACTAGTGTTTTGTTTTGTAAATGAGACTATTTCTATTTTCTTCTGCATACATGAAATTTATAATTAAGATCATTTAATTCCCTTGAATTTTTTTTGTTAAGTTACAGAAGAGAGACTGTATTTTCCCTGGGATGGGTAAACAGCACATGTGTTCTATGGATTTTGTTGTTAGAACATATTTGTAGCAGATCTGAGAGTTAGCCTCTGTGTCTATCACTGTTTCATTCAAAATGGTACCAAATTGTACAGCTAATCTAAAATATTAAATCTAAGAATACATTAGTTGACAATTACTATAAATGAGTCATTCATTAATGAACATAAATGGGATCTTAATAGTTTCCTCTGGCTTTACCCCACTGCAGAAGTTGCTTGGTAACACCTTTGCAGGTGATTACCTATTTTAGCTGAAGTGTTCTTATATTAAAAAAAAAGAAAAAAAAAGAAAAAAATCTTTGCTGATATTAAATTGAGGTGAAATCCAGCTCCTGGCAACTTTTATTTACTAGCTCTTTCATTTGATGAAAAACTATGTCTGTCTTTGATGAGATAAAATATAAAGACAGATAACAAATCCCCTCTTTATGTCCCTTTCTTTCCTTGGTGAGTATTTCTAGTTCTTAGCCTTTTTGGTTTTTCTTGGGCTTCTAATGTGCCAGTTTCTTGATGGGTATTCCATGGAATAGTAGCATTTTCACAATACTTAATGGAGAAAAAAAGGCTTCTAAAATAAAATGTATTTGGAAAAATCTATCCATTAGACCATCCTCTAGGAGAATCACAATGCAAAGAGTCTTAAGGTCTTGGAAATGCTTTATAGTAAAGAGACCTGTCAATTTATCTTACCTAGTCTTCTTTAGATTATTTGGCTATTGTGTCATTTTCATTGAGTGTGAAAATTTAGTAGGATATATTTTAATAGATGCGGATCTATATATACTATAAATTTAGGAACAGTGATTTCTAGGTAGAATGGCTTGTTTTCCTTCTCAGCTCTAACATTAGATACTTGTCTGTAACTTTATTTTTAGTCTTAACCATGATTAGAAGCTTTTTCCATTAACATGTCCTAAATGTTTGAATTATCTTTATTTTTGGCAATATTTAATACCAAGTATTTTTTATAGAAACCACTTGTACAGCAGATCTCCATTCTTTGGAATATTATTACTGATTATTTGAATTTAAATAGAAACTTTTATATTGATCTCTAACTTTTACTTAGGTTTACCATTCTATCTGCTCAGGATATTTGAATGTCATCCATTGTACTAGGTACTTCTTTGGAATAACCTGACTAATTCTTTAATTATTATTTTTTAAGATTTATTTATTTATGCATACAGAACTGAGGTACAGGCCAGAGGTACATGGGCGGTGAGAGGCTTCACCAGAGACAGAGTGGGGAACACAGGCAGATTGATGAAGTACACTGCTAAGGGGAGCAGAAGGCAGGTCAGGAGAGGTCTGCTGTGCCATGTGGGTCACCTCATTGGGCCAGGGATCAAACTCATGCTGAAGTGGCTTTAGCTCCTTAGTGCTGAGCTACAAGCTGCTGCACCACCAGGGAGGTGCATGTCTTAATGCATGTTTCAATCTATATATGATGTAGAATTTTTCTAAAATTCTTGTTATTTTCTAAGTCTTTGAAAAATGATTGTTAAAACTATACTTTTGTATATCTGGATCTTTAATTGGCATTTTCTTGCTCTGTTATCTAAAACTTTTGGATGGCATAGTTGGGTAGATTTTTTTATTTAATTTACCAAATAATATTTAAAAAATTTTAATTCAGTAATGTTAATAATAATTTATTTCTACCAACTTCACATTTTAAATATCTACTACTAAGTATTGTTGCCAGGGTTATGACTCTCTTTCTGTAGAGTTATGTCAATTTTATTGTTTCATGTGGCTTTTTTTTGTTGTTAATATGTGTGGAATTTTCCCCCTAATTATCAGTTTTATTCTCTGTAAAATGCAAACTCACCAACTTCTACCATATATTTTAATTTTATAGACCATTGATCAAATGACAAACTATCTTAGAAATATGCATTCACCCATTATTGGGGTTTATTAATCAGCAATATAAGAAAATGCAACTGTTTGCCCAGACATTATCTATTGACCCCGATTCACATCTTGTACTTACTTTTATTTCCAAAGAAAGATGTTTAAGGTACAGAAGATATAGAAAAAATGCATTCTTTTTAGAATATTTTGGGATTCTATATAGGATTCCAAGTCATCATACAAAATTTCTAATGTATAGCAATGAAAGTATGAAGTTTGAAATTTCCACATGGTTAACTTACTATATATCTTGAAATCTTGTTTCATAAATATGAAAAAAGCAAATGTAAGTATTTATGAACAATAAAAAATATTTCAGATAGTTTGGGAAGAGCTGGTGCTTACCATAGTACAAAGACCAAAATTGATACTTATTAAATACAATAAATGTATTGGTAAATATGCACCCATACAGTGAGTAGGAATATCTGTTTTTCAAAGGTTTAGAGGATTATATGTACAAGGTTACTAAATGGACATGATAAGTATAATGATAACAGTTACAGCGTGTTAATATAATGATATTAGTTATTATTTGCTGATATATACTTATATGTAAAGACACAATTAGTAAAACGATTATAGGAGACTTTAATAAAAATATTTTAATAAATATCTTAAATTAATGTGAATGGAATCGATACATTTTAAAATCTAACCATGAAATGAACACTATTAAATTAAATAATACAATTGGCGCCATCTAAGAACTTTTCCTTGAGAACAAATTTTAAACAAATTGTCAAAATCATTCAAATAAAGCTGAAGAGGTATAGGAATTGGAGACATCTTAATTATTAAATTATTTACATATAAATTAGAAATGTAGACAAATTAGACAAAGATTCATCTGTAAAAGTTATCACAGAATTATTGTTTCTGATTGCATGAATGGGAACATTTCAGTGTTAAATCGAAGAGAAAAAGTTACACTCCATTTTCTGGAAAAAGGAAATGTTATATAACACATATCAAGTACAAATTGTGCTTTAAAAATATTTACACTGTAAAGTGCTCAGACCATCATATTAATTGATCAAAAACAGGAGTCGTAACTATACACATTATTATACAATTTAAAAAAATACATGTAGAAAACAGATTAGAAGAAAGCATCAATGTTCATTGCAGACTTTTTCTGGACAATTTTTCATCATAGATAGGTTGAAATTTTAACTCTTCCCCCTGTCTATAATTTCTAGAATTTTATAACATTGCTATTATATTCAGAAATAAGCACAATTGTAGTTGAAAGAGAGAAGAAAATGAAATATCTTCATGATATAGTTGTTTACAAAGTATTATACTTTAATTTTTCAGAGAGAAGGCAAAATTAAAACAAAATTAAACAATAATCCAGGATTCAAAAATAAATGACTTTTTTTTAAGCATAGAAAGCATTTTCCCCACAGAAAATGAAATGCATATAAGAACATGGTGTAGACCATTGTGTGAGATACGAAATTATTTCACAGAGAAAGAATGGGAGTCAGAACAGGTGGGTCTACTGAAATACACTGTTGAGAGGAGCAGTGGGTGACACAAGAGAGACCTGCTGTAATATGTGAGTCAGCTCCCAGGCTGGGTATCTAGTTCTGGCCATTGTGGTGATAGAGGTGAGACTAGGCTACCAGAAGGCCCCCAATATAATGTTTTTCTTTACTTTATGCTATGGAAAATTTCCTGCAAATTTGAACCTTAACTTTCTCTGAAAGTGAGGAGGGATAGATTATAAATATTTAATGTAGTCTCATGAGGCTATAGTATACATAGAAAAAATAATTCTGTTTGAAAAAGTAATATTTAAATCCAATTATGTTATAGGATTGTATATCTGCAGTTTCATTTATTTTTTGAATCCAAGGATTAAAATGGAGATAAGAAAAAAAACTAGTACTTCTAGCAATTTTCAAAGCCATGGTCAGCTCTTGAAATGTCGGTCTTCAAACTTGTGGATTTTCTTAGTGTCTTGAAATTAAACTCAGAAACAGTTGAAAAATCAGTGCAGACCACACTCTTTAATGCAGTGCATCTGACTATGTGTATGTGTATCGTATATATAAAGCTCACTTTCCCTAAAGCATTGTTAAGAGGCTGGGGATTCTTGCTAAAATGTGGACTGCTGCTTTATAGATATGTTATATGTTCAAGACATTGGTCAATTTACCACCTTGCCTATGAATGGTTTGACAGTGTCGTGTAATCATATATGAAGAGAGCCATTAAGTCATCTCATTCATATGTATTTTTATTAGTGAGACTTAAAACTCTTCAAATGATATATTTTCAAGTGGTTTATTTTATTTCAACCCACTTACACCTCCAACATTTATCCCTACTTCTATTTAAATGTGTGCCATTTAAAGAAGTGTCCTGACATCTATCCAAATTTTTATTTTTCTTGGTTAAAAAAAAATAAAAAAGAGGCAACACACACTGCATCATTTCACTTATTTAGTCTTTTCATATAAGACTGACAGCCCTAAATTCTACATAGGAGGCATTGCTCCTCAGTCACACCTCATATATCTGGTATTATTGGAAATGAGGTTTCTACATGATTGAATTTTCTAGATAATTCAGCTGAGTTTGGCATGCTTTGCTGAGCACCTACCATTTGGCCTGCATGGGGGACTAAGGCCTAGTAAATAAGATCTCAAAAGCTCATAGCC